TCAGTGAGTAACATAACCTTAGTAATGCCATAATGATATAATCTCGGCGGGAAATCGTTCTCATCATGGCCCTCCACAAGCGAGGCTTTGTTCGTTGGTGTGCAGTTGCTCTTTTCTCTGCGACCCATTCTCGTTCCAATTCAGTAACTAGTCTTTCTGTTCGATTCGAAGTATCCACCCGGAATAAAAAGCTTTCGTCTAAGGGTTGTTTACTACCGAGCTTGAGAATATCATTCAGCCAAGAGAAAGTTATCAGAGAGAAAAAACCCGCCTTTCCTAGAGGATTTGTACTAGAAATATCTTCCATGGCGGCCGTTCCTATGCTTATTCCTCCTGCGAAAAAAAAAAAAACGAATCGTTATAAAATTTGCGTGGAATACAAAGGATTGTCAAGTTTTTGTTTTATAAAAGATGTCCTCAACCGTCTTCTATAAAACTGTTGTCACCAAATTGTTATGGGTGCCTCACCACATTTATTAAATACTTTCACAAATTCTTAAAGTGATCACTAGTTTAGTTATCTTACCTTGAAGATCTCTTTGTCCAGCGCGCTTTGAAAAAAACAGGCACGCAAGAGGTAAATAACTATGGAGGCACAAGTGGAACGAGAATAGGTTTAGCTGTATTTTAAGTCTCGAGTGCATTAAATTTTCTTAACGACAAAAAATATCTGCAAAATTCTCGATAAAACCAAAGATTTAACCAGATCGGCAAGTGGAAGAGAGGCGGTCCTTCTGTGTCCAACTGTTACTGACGTTACATTGCGTAATGGAAGCTCCTTATTGCGTTACATAAAAACACGAATAACTTAACATGGACAATAGAAGGTATCAAACCAAAAGAAGCGATCATTTTTTCTTATTGAAATGTCTATGGGGAACGAAAAAAAACCTTGAAAATAATATATGTATATAAGAACTCACAAGGTAAGCCTATCGTTATCGTAATTCAAATGGTAATTTGTTTTTTCACAGCAAATATGGAATCTTTCATTTCTGTAACGGAGTCGCTCCCAAACATATTAAGAAAATCAATCATCCAGCAAAACGAGCCATGTGGTTACAAATGTTACCTCTGGCTATATCTTAGCGTAGCAAAGCTTCACATCGATTCCTAAGTCAATCATAGGTTAAATTCTTCCGAAAATTTAGCTTAGTCGATGACATTTTGGCTCCTTTTCAATCTGTTGTAATATTTTTAATGTCAAATACAAATACACCTCATGCACAATGGCTCTATAACTAATCATTTTGAATAGTAATTACCCTTGTAGCTTTAAGAGAAACAAACCTCCATCACTCCCTCCCAGGAGCTCATTTCGCAGCCTCGGTACCCAAAGCTCCAACAATACAGCACCTTTCAGGAGCTGTCGATTGCGTAACCAACTAATCATATAAAGAGGTGAAATGTCCATCCTTATGAATTACTTGGGTTAATCGACCATGTACAAATAAACAACAAGTTACTTACTAGAATATGCTTCAGCAAAGCCGATTATCTTGATCAAAGTTCTGGAATGTATATCGCACTCTTTCGGTTTTAAAAAAAGTGACTTGAAGGCCAGTCAATCTGGTCTGTATCTTTGTCAGTAGGTATAGAAGAAATATTCCATTATTTCAATTTATGCAAAACAATTCGTCACTCTATTTCCCCATAATGATCGATGGTGGCATAGTAGATACTCAGTATAATTACGCGTTAAGACCTAGAGAAAGAAATTCAAATATCCGAGGCACTTCGACCAACAGGTTTAAGAACTTTACCTAAAAAAAATACGCTTTATGTTTTGCACATGATTAGTTTCGCCATTATTTTGCCATTATATGCTTATTGGTTGCTAATACAATCAATTGCTTCTTAGCTATTCATTTTGTGTTATTGGATTATTATTGTTTGCTGGGCAGACTTGTAATTCAGTTATTTTTACTGCAAGAGGTCTTAATAAACATATCCACATATCCACACCTGAAGCGGTTCGAAGGAATTGCAGATATTTTGTGCATCTGCAATCCTCACCTCGAAACCTGCCTTTCTCGACTACGTAAAATGTGTTTCAGTTAAACTCTGAATTTGCAAGCCAACGCAGAGTGTAATTTATGCATGTGAAACAGATCCGTTGAATAACCTGATGAAATGAAAAGAGATAGAACTACTTTGCACTAAACAAAGAACCTCTGTATCCCAAACAATTTCCATTAATCTCTAAATTTGCAAGCCAATGCAGAGTCTAATTTATGCATGTGAAACAGATGCGTTGAATAACCTGATGAAATGACCAACAATACAACTACTGTATACTAAAAAAATCTCTGTATCCCAAATAACTTGCATTAGTTCCGGAATTTCCTGTCGATATTATTTCTAGCAGATGCTCTCATCTAAAATCGTTCCCCTTCAAAGAGTACAGCACTGAACTGTTCACTGTGCTTTGATTGTTCATGAATTCTGAAGATTGGACTACACGTCAGGGCACAGTTGTTCGAAGAGTGGATGATGCTATCCAACGGATAAATCACTATCCAGCGGATAACTATTAAGAAAACGTATTGCGCTATCCACTATAGTGATTTTCCAATGGATAGCGTTATCCAACCTTTGAACAAGCGGCCACAGAGATTGACATAACTAACATCAAAACTTTTATCATGATCTGAGAGTGACAATCAAAGTCGATACAAATAACTCACCTATCAAACATTACGGATAAATTGGCGTTTGTTGAGGTACTACAGAATGATAACGAACTGAAAGTTACCAGTTCACTGATCATGACTATGATGAAACTAGACTCTACATTTGCATACTCACGCGGCATTGGCCGTTCAGCTCCAGTAGTCTGTGTGCCTTTCCGAAGGTAGGAAGCAAAGGCCGAAGAGGTTTCTTACATATGAATCACATGCAGTAATTGCCTAGTTTACTTCAGTTCATTTTATTTGTTGATGATGTTGGTTTTAATCAACGGCAGATATTGATGTGCTGGAAGACGTAAGAAATTATGAAATCTGAAAATGAAACACTTAATCTGCTATTTTGTATCTCACAATCTTAGACATCTCAGAGTGCAAGGGCAAACAGATAATGACAAGAACTGTCTTTATCGACTAAAAGAAGGCATTTGACCTCGTGAATAACAAGTGCCTCAAATTAACGCACTATGGATTCCGGGGTCCTAGTCATGACTAGTTCGAGAACCATCTCACTTCTCGCAGTCAAAGAATAAAGTACAGGTGCAACTTATCCAGTCTTACACTTGAATGTGGCGCACCTCAAGGTTTTCTACCCGAAGCTTTGCTCTTCGTTTTGTGCATCAGCGATCTCCCTAAGTACTTGTTACAGTCTCAAATCAGCATGTATGTAGATGACACAGTTATATACGCTGCTGGTTTAGGTTCCGATAATATCCAAATGACGATTTAAGGAAATAGTGACAGGGTGGAGCAATGGATGAGCAACAGCAAGCTACTACAAAACCTGAGCAAGACCAAATGTATTCTATTTGGAGAGAACAGAAGCTTGCAGGCTCGACTGACTTTAACATCTAAACGCACAGCATGAAAATTGAAAGGGTTGCCAAGTTTTGCTGCGTAACGGTATTGATGGGTGAAGATCTCTGAACAAAGTGCTCACTGAGGTCAACACACGCCTAAGCTTGCTCGACTGCTTTCAGTCATGCCTGACTCTTACAAAGCCGATCAATGTGTGTACAATTCCCTCATTCTGCCGGTTATTTGCTACACAGACACCGCTTGGGGGAGTTATCGGTTGCGCGCAGTGGTGAGTTACAGCAATTACAAAACAGAGCTGCGTATCACTGTGTATCACTATCAGAAGTAATGGCTCCAAGAAGTAACAACTTTGAATGTGATTGGCTAATTGAACTGTCCGATGGCAAACTGTCTTATAACAACTAGGCAAGTGGATTCGTGGAAAATAGGAGTTTTTAAACCCATCGCTATCGAGAAAATTGTAATTTTAATGGTTATGATTTTTTGTTGGAGCTGATGTTGCACGTTTCATTTGTCTAAAAACTGTTCGCCAACGAACAGCCCCTCCAATTCGGTGAAGTCCGACACGAAATAAAACATAGGCATGCTTAGCATGCAAAATTTTATTTTCGCCGGGCGGGTTGAGATGGGACAATCTAATGCGGCAATCTGATTGGTGCGAGATACACACCCCTATGCGGTAATCTGATTGGTGCGAGATACATAACCCAAATGCGGCGATCTGATTGGTGCGAGCAACATACTACTCTACACGCTAACCTGAAGTTATATATTTTTTTTATTAAAAAAAAAAAAAAACGAAGAAGGAAAAAATTGATGGTGACTTGCCTGAGAAAGTTTTCTGCTGTTCTTAAGAAGAGATTTCATTAATATAAATTGAATGTGACGTAAATTTTCTCATCGGTCAGAAAAAAAATTCCATGAGAGTTGTTTCCCCCCCTTCCCCGCTCCTTCTTCGGCGGGAAAATTTAAACAAATCATTTTCAGTTGGGGGCACAGTTTTCTCTGCTCTGTGCAAATCTTGAGGGTGGGTGCGCGTTTAGCTGAGTCGTCCGTAGTGTCAGGAATGGCGTACCTGGTGAGGATGATCGGACGTACGTGATTTTCTAACCAGATTTTTCCTGGTTATGGCATTTGCGCGGTGCGAACTCCGATTATAATGTGATCTTGTGGAAGGTTGGAAAAAATAAGTGAGCCTAATCCTTTATAATTTTACGCTACGCGTTTACGATCAAATTTCAGTCATTTCGGTGGGTGTTCTTTTTAATTGTCGATTGTTCTTTTTGATTGTCATATATTAAAACTTTCAAGTCACACCATAGAAAAAAACTTATCGTTATGAACAGAAAAAAAAGGATAACCGTTGTCCAAAAATATACGCTTTTTGATGGTATAGACAGAGAAACTTCAATCCTCAGTTATTATTTTCAGCCCGAAAACTTTGAAACGGAAAGGTGTGTGTTTGTGAAGAAAATTTATTGTGTAAATAAACAAAGTAGATCATGCTTTCTGTTACTAAAGGTTCACTTTTATGTCAGTACCACGCCGTACTCTTCATGTTTTACAAGACGACAGGACCTCGAATTTGAGTACCCTTAAGTCCAGTTTGTCGGAACGGGGTATCTCAATATCCTTATAAGATAATGAATTAATTTTACCTGCTATCATGAACTTAAAAAAAATTTAAAACGGTCAGTGGGTTGTTGATATGCCTCAGTACTACACTATAACATCTTTCTACTTATGCCAATAAAATAAACGAATAGCCCAATATTCATACCTATTATGAGACGTTACAAACTCATCTGAGAAAACGATTCTTCTAAGAGGTTCCCAAAGTGTAAAAACAAAAAAGACGATGTGAAAACGTTGAAAATTAAATGAGCTATCTTCAAACTAAGGGAGAAGCTTAACTTACTGCGATGAGATGAAGGAGCGTTCTCCTTTCTCATAGAATTTAACTGACGAACTCCTTTCAAATGGGAATTATTCCTTACAAGGAAAACTGCAAAACTATCCTCGGTTAACACGAATTAAAAATATACTAAGGCGGAAAGGGAGACTGGTACCAATATATGTTGTAATGCAAACGTGAGTGTGATTCCATCGTCGATTAAAGCCGAGCTCAATGTGCCGCTGTTACATTTTGGGTATGCACAAGACGAGCAAAGATTCCATCCTCATTTTGTAGCAGCACTTCAGGTTTGTCAAACTCTAACACTCGTCCCTCATCCATAACCACCATTTTATCATAATCTATGATGGTGTTCAAGCGATGGGCGATGGTTATTACTGTGGAGTCTTTAAATCTGTTGCGAATAACGTCTTGAATCAGTCTGTCTGTCTTGAAGTCGACATTAGCTGTGGCTTCATCTAGGATGATTATCTTACTTTTCTGTAACAGTGCACGCGCTAAACAGACCAACTGGCGCTCGCCGACACTGAAGTTGCTCCCAGACTCTTTCAACTTGTACTCCAGCTTTTCAGGCAATTGTTGTACCAGGCAACTTAACTGTACATCTTCCAAAGCTCTCCACAGATCATGATCTTTGTATAAGGAGAAGGGATCTAAGTTCTTCCTAAGGCTGCCGCTAAAGAGGACAGGATCCTGAGTAATGACAGCCATAGATCTGCGAGCTGCCTGTATATTGAGATGCGTGATATCTATGCCATCTATGATAATCTATTCAAATGAAATGAGGAAGTGGATCAAAATGATGTCGAATAATGATATTTCTAAGGCGTGCATGTAAAACGGAAACTAATGAAGAGCAAAACAAATGTCCTCTAAGAAATAATAATACGTTATTTTATCTTTTTGATCATCATAATTATCAATTTTTCACCATCACAGTCATTTGTGTCATTAAAACTCACTAACGATTTCTTAAATCAAGTTTTAAGAAAACTTACATTTCGCGTAACAGGAAGGAGATGAAGAAACGAGATCTCAAAGTGTGCCTAACGGTAACACTCTGCATGTTCTCACCTCGCCTTCTGGTTCTGGTGTTCTAAACAAAGCCGTCACTAATGATGATTTTCCAGCTCCCGTACGACCCGCCACACCAACCTTCTCCTTATCAGAGATACATAAATTTATTCTGTTCAAAGTTGGTGGTGCTCCCTTCAAGTATGATAAAGATAAGTTTCGCAATGTTAAAGTGCCTTTTGTTGGCCACGACTCAGGAGGTAGGCTGTCTAGCTTGTATCCAGGTTCAGATTCGATTTGAGTGTAGGTAAACACCCTTTCCACTGATGTCATGTAGTTTTCTGTTTCTGAGGCTACCTGGATACCGTACTGGGCTGCTTCCAACGTGTCGACTGCGAAAGTAAGGGACATTCCCGCCAAAGCTGAAAATAAGAGCGGTTTACCAATTATCTTTGATCATACTTCTACAAAAGTTAGTGAAAAGGAATGTGAAGAGAAGGTTATGCTCTTTGATGATGTACTAAAAGCGTAATTCAAATTGCTCTTGTCAAGTGGATATTTTGATAAGTAAATAGGATTTATTATCAGCGCGGAGAGAAAGGAAACTTTCTGAGAGGCAGGAATAGGCTCCTATAAGAAAGAGCTCGCCAGGCGAAGAATGTTAATCGATAAAGTGATCACACAAGCGAAAAGAAAGGACGATTCAGTAGCACTAGAAACTTTAAGAATATATACCTGGGTTTTGTGTTGCAAACAAAGCTCCAGCCGACACAGAAGTGACAAGAAAATTACTCAAACAATTTCCTCGGAAAGCAAGCCATCGTGTTGAGGCCTTCAGCAAAAACAGGGCAGACGTGTTCTTGTCTTGATATCTTAAAAAAAGACCAATACATTACTGAGTTCTTCATAGTTAGAGACCGGTGTCCCAATTAAGTACATCGTATTACATTGAGCCAATCGATTCATGCGAAATTGATGTCATGATCTCACCTTTAAGGAAAATGAAATAAAGAGAATTTTAACGTTACCATTGAAATCTTTCAACAACAAAAATAAATTTCAAACTCTGCTCACTCCCCCTCCAAAAAAAGAAAAATAATAATAGTATTAATGAATTAATAAAAATATATAAATAAGACTGAGCGCCATCTTGAGCCAAAAAACAGAAACTTAGTAACAAATAATTTTCACTAAATACTTCTTACTATCCGATTTCGAGGTCCGTACTGTAACTTACCAACGGAGCTTTTTTCTGCTCGGTTTTATGACCCAAGCGTAGAACATAAATATGAGCAGAAATAACGAGATCTGTAACTTACAGAACAAACCAACAAACAAGGTTCGTTTAGATATTTAATATATCTCTGTATTCTAATAGAGGGGAAGGTTTAAAGTAAAACTAACTTTGTAATCAGTCGGGGTGTACAGTGAAATACGGCCCGCCAAAATTACCAATCGTAACGTACGTACTAACTAAAGAATATGCTAAGTGTACCAAAGAATAGCTTTAGCCTTAAGTTAAAGATATGTAATATCTATGAAATTGATGGAGTAGAAATTATGTTTAAACAGCTCCTGCCCATCAGAAATGGGGTCTGTACAAAAGGTCGTAAAGATTGATAGCGGCTCAGCTGTTTTCAAAAACCATAATTGCTTGCAGTTTCGATCATTTTGATTTTTATCTTTTCTGCCATTCAATATCTCAACTAAATATTCCGTCCAAAATAAATGGCTTACAACTGCTAACGTTTTCTCTTTCCATGTCTATGACAATTGTTTAAAGTAATGGGATCCACCATACAGTCCAATGTTTTATTCAATGCAGGTGGACAGATTTTAATTTTATTTATTTTTTATTCACTTATTTATTTATAATATGCATTTATATGCATATTAAAAGAGGAACAAAGCTAATTTCTACAGATAATTCATGGGAAATAGAAAATAGAAAAAGGAAAGGCGAAGAAGTCTCAAAAAGCCGGAAAGGCCTATAGGTGAGGCTCCCTCACCTATAAGCCTTCCAACCTATAAATTAGAGTTGAAGTTAAACTAGGATATAGAACGTAATTTAAAAAGTGTAAAGTACTAAGAAAATGTAATTACTTAATATTAATAACCTTGCTATAAAATTCATTGGGTATTTTGCAAATTGATTGAATAGGATGTAATTAACCGGTTTAAGGATCCTACATTGTTAGGTTCAATATCAAATGAAGTACAGTTCAACAATTTTTTCCTTGATATTAAATTGTGAATTGTTTAATGTTAGTTCTATAGACTTGGGGACGGTATAATTCAGGATATTTAATATTCGTAACAATGACATTGTATTTTCATAGGGCACTCACCGATAAAACTTTTGCAGAAAATTATCCTCCATCCCAGATGATCTTATCACCTCTAATCCAGCCATTGTATCAGCAATAAGGGAATACACCGGACTGCAGGTTATAGCTTCAAGTCGCCTGAGCTCTCGAGCGGATTTCAAATAATATTTAGTCAGGTAGATAAAAAGTACTGTTAATGGAGTGCAAGTAATGAAGAGCCAAACATTGGATACCGCTGAAAGTATGGTAGCACCAAGAAAGTGAAGACATAATTGAACGGCAAAGAGAAACTTTCCTGGAAGCAGGTCATCCATGCAACCGACATCTTTGGAGAAACGGTTCAAGATGCGACCAACTGGATTAGTATCAAAGAATAAAACTGGTGCTTTGAGAACAGCGTTTGTCATCTGGTCATGAAGGTTTCCTGATGCTCTCAAAGCAGTGACATAGAAACAGAAAGAGGATACGATTGTAAAAAGCAAGGAAGCAATAGCAATTGATCCGTACACCGAAAGAGTGATGAAATTTTTTTGCTTTTCAAATGGCATTTCTGTCATTCTTGAGACCCACCAGAAGGGTGCTATCCACAATACTGAGGAGAGACAAAAAATTCAATGGTATGTATAAGTGCCTTGAAAAATTAAAAAGACTGTGATTAATTGTGTTAAGGCTATACGGTCGGTAATAATGTACCTAAAAGTATCGCCACGGCTAACTTTATTTGCTGAAGAAGACGAGTTTCATGATGTTCTCTGTCGTCATGATGAGGCAAATGTTCAGATTTTTTAATAGCTTCTTGCAATTTAGAATGGCTTGATGAACTCGTACTTATAGGCGATGGATTAACACTCCTTTTCAAAGCTATCACGCGATTAACGAGTACAAATTATTTCGACCAAGACTGTCATTTTTTATTCGAGGGAATTTTAGACAATGCATAGGATGATCCAAGCTGGCGAGGGTCCTCGCATAGTTATTAAAATTTCCAGACAGTTTAGCGGCATGGGTCATGAAAAAAAACACTCCAAGCGATTGTCACTTACCTAGTACAAAAGTCAAGAAAACGGAAAGGCTTGCTATCATGATAGTTGGCAGTGCAGTTCTGAAATATTTCCAGTACAACAACCACTTCACACTTCCAATCATTCTATCCTCCGCATCATCTGTGAGATCCACTCTTTCACCTTCTATTTGAGGGACAGTCATTGATTTGTCTTTGCACACAACTGTAGCCATTTCAAGATCATCTTTCTCCAAACTGGGGGCTCCTTTCGCTTCACGCTGAAAAAAGCGAAAGCCCATGCTGAGTTGAAGTACTTGACTATAAGTCCCTTGACCTACAACCGAACCATTCTCAAGCAGCACAACGCTGTCAGTCTTTTTTAGAAACTGCAGCTGATGAGTAGCCAGAATGCGTATTCTTCCGCCCAGAAACTCCTTGATACACCTCTCGAATAGATTTTTGCCGACTTTGGCATCCACTGCACTGAGTGGGTCGTCCAATAAGTAAATGTCAGCATCAGTGTATATCGCGCGTGCTAGACTTACTCGAGCACGCTGACCACCGCTCAAGATGACTCCGCGTTGACCAATTTCAGTTAGATCGCCTTTAGGAAAACATTTAATATCTTTCTCAAGGTCACAAACCATGATAACTTTATTGTATTTTTCGGCGACAAACTGTCTGCCAAACACAATATTTTCTCGCACTGTGCCTGAATAGACCCAAGGAATTTGGGATACGAAAGCCATTTTTCCGATACAAGAAATTCGACCAGAACATACGGGAAGTTCTCCCAGAATACTAAGTAGTAAAGTTGTTTTTCCGCTTCCAACTGGGCCTGTTAAACCCACAAGCTGCCCATCAGCAACATCTAACGAAACGTTTTGTAGCGCAGGAATCTCCGACGTTTTACTCCAAGCACACGAAACTTTGTCGAGCGTAACCTTCGGTGGATGGTTGTCGATTAGCGGTTCCAGCTTTCGAACACCAACTAATACCGGTTTTCCATTTTTAAAACTATCAATTCTGACAAAATTCGATCGCTTTCTTCGGTCTGTAAAGGGCAATATTGTATCGCCGTGATCTATTTGCATCTTTGACAAGGAATTCTTTTCTAGTATCCTCTGCATTCTGCAACAAGCCGTCCTTGCGTCGGCAATGTAGCGCAATCCATGAACAAGGAATATTGTCACCACCATTTTAGTGTTACTCAACACCAAAAGCAATGTAAAAGCCATAAATGAGGTCAGCAGATTCCCTGTAAGGAGCAGCGTTACGACTGAAATAAAACCTGCAATCGTGGAGCTGGTGAAGAACAGTGCGTAGATACTGGAGATGAAGAATCCTCGTATACGAATCAGAGAGATCTCTTTCCTGTGGAAAACATTTTGAAGGAATGTAATTCGTGCATGTGGCGTTATTTAACACTCTGATAGTTTTTTCCTGGTATGGAGGGCCCATCTCCATGATTAATCGGTGGATGAAAGTCTAAAATTATGTTTTCACACAAAACGCATGTACAGAGAAAGATGTAAATTTAAATTTCATCGATTGATTAATCAAGGGCTATCACTATGAAATCTTGTAATCTTTACATATAAGCACGTACCAATTGGACTGAGGGGACGGTCGAAAATTTCAGATTTAAGAAAACAATATATGTGATTCATGATTCCTTAGGGGTTGAAGAGTTAAAGTCGATCTGTTGGTAAAATTATGATATTTTCTGGAAAACACAACAATCCTCTAACCTTCTTATTTGTGCAACCAGATCCCTAAAGTTCCATTCCCAAGCGTACATTTTCACCATGCGGATACCAGAGATGATCTCATTCATTATCTTCAGCCTCTCGTCAGTTACTGCAGCAGCCCGGTGGCGTATTTTCCCAGTTTCACGAGCTATGAAGGATCCGTAAGCAACGACGACAAGAAAAAAGGAAATTCCTAACAACGCTTGCCAGGCCACTAAGTACCATACAAGAGCCAAAGAGGCAATGAGGTCTACAAAGGCGAATGAAAATGAATACAAGACATAACCCAGCTCCTCAATACTTTGAGCATCGTTGGAAACAAGGTTGATAGTGTTCTCCGAAAGCGAGTCTTCTAAGGTGCATCTCTGACTGTTGAGAATCTGACAAAGAAAAAGGGAAACAAGAAAGATATTGTTATTTTAAAAAACGGTAAAAGTGCCTTTTCTTCACGTACACAGAATCATTTCTGTGCAGGGGAAGTATCCTCTTAAAAGGATGTTATCTTTATCTTTCCGATTGAAATGTATATCTGTAAATGTACTATTTACATGTTTGAGGTTTCAAACAGTAACCCAACCGTTTCGAGATTTCTCTTTGAGCGTGCTGAAAAAAACTCGACAATTGACGCCGCCAGTTCGAATAAACTATCTGTGAACGTAATGCAGCAACTCGTGGTTCACAACCGAAAAGACCCTTGTCCCTCTATATGGCGCAGAAATGAATTTTGGATGTTGGATGCCTTCTGGCGTATCTCCTAATTTGCAAACTAATCATGAAGGAAAAGAAGGAAAGGAGAAAAATAAAAGAAGGGAAACACGAGAAAGCTTCAAGGACGCTACGTAAGATTATTTGACATGGCGGGGACCGTACTTGACTATAGAGTACAAGAAAGACAAGTCTAAAAGATTGTGTCGGTTGTAGGAATCTCAAACACTGCCTGCCAGGGTACCAAGTAGTATCCGGTGTCCCTCAGTAATTCTGGTGCCTCATTGCGCATGTGTCGATTAAAACGGGAATTCTTAATGAATTACACACTTTGTCCATGTTGAAGTCGTAATGAGTTCATAATTTCATACACACTAACTTTTGGCAGAGCATACACTTGCATTACAATGCGTTTTTAGTAAAGAACTTTAGCATCGGTGACGAAAGAGACGACGAGGACGGCTGGAAGTCCTATCGTGACACTGTCAAGTTACGGCACATGTGCTTTTTTAGCGGGCTGTCGTTCTATAGTCGTTGTGGACAAAATTTTTAGTGCTAACGCATTTAAACGAGAAGGCGAGTAATTTTCACCTGTGTTAAGTTGCAAAAACCGGAAGTTTACAGGATTTTAAATTTAGTTTACTTTCACGGATTTCATTCCTTATAGACATTCAAACCTTGTATTCTAACACTTTGTAAATGGAGATGAACTTTATTCGTCTCGGGTATCCAAGCTTTGCATGGGATCTTTTAAACGAAACCGTTTTATTTTCTTGGTTTACACCTTACATAAGGGGTGTATCAGAGATTCTTCGCCGCTGCCTACAACATCAAGCATAAGGACCGTTTTCAAATCTGACATACCGCTTAGGTCTCACTGAGTGCGACCTAGCTAAAGATGCCTTAGAACCAACAAAACAAAACGGTGTCGTTTACAAGATCCCATGCGACTGCGGCAAAGTGTATATCGGTGAAACAGGGAGATCAACGCGAAAAAGGATAAAAGAACATGACAGAGACATACGGTTTGCTCGTACTCAGACCCCTGCGGTTTCGGAGCACGCTAACGAAACGGGGCATATTCCTATTTGGGGCCAGGTTAAGTTCATTGATTGTGATCCACACGTAGAGTCAAAGAGGCTATCCAAAAAGACTTCATTCCAACCACATCAGTGGAATCGAAATTCCTGAAGCTTGAATACCCACGATCAGACAACAGAACAGCCGATCAGCTCGGACCTATGAGGGAACACCATCTAACAACCGGAATAATAATAAGAAATGAATAAAGGGGTAAGTTTCTAAAGAAACTGTGGTGCTGCGTCGGTGGGAGAGTATAGCAGGTAATTTAGTGTTAACAACCGGGTTGAAAACGTAAATTAGCCACCGTAAAGGGTAAAAAAGCTCACGTTTCGAGCGTTAGCCCTTCGTCAGAGCGATTGACGAAGGGCTAACGCTCGAAACGTCAGCTTTTTTACCCTTTACGGTGGCTAATTTACGTTTTCAACCCAGTTGTTAACACTAAATTACCTGGAATAATAATGAGGATCGAAATACACCAACAGCAGCGAATCAACGTGCTACAAATAGCGACACGTAAAGAATCGACATAACCTCCTGATGAAGACTAGCAGTATTGCAGTCGAAACGTCGCGATCAACATCCAAAGTGACACCATCGTGAGACAAACCAGTAAAGTTCATCTCTTATCTCACACCATGATGAACAATAACCACATATTTTATCACCTTATGAATGAATAATTGATTTTATGTATTTTCTGGGGAATTCGACACCACGGTTAAAGTATGCATGAGTATCATGGCTATAAATGTGCCATTGCTCTGTATTTGGCCATCAGCCTGTCCTTGTACATTATTTTGCTGTTTTTTTAAAGTTGTCATAAAATTACCTCAAAAATTCAACTTTTCTGTGATTTCAGAGGAACAAATGTCTTCAGTGGACCTTTGACCATGAGGTTATCATATACCCGAAAGTTCTAGTCTCAGAACCGTTCAATTTTAAACTGAGGGGCCCGGAAAACGGCTCTTAGAGCAAAAAGAACTCTTCATCATCGATCCAATCGCGTTTGCAAAAGAGAGGAAGCGGAGTTCGAATATTTCCACACGATGCCATGCCACAACGAAATTTTCTTCGCTTTCTTTGACCCGAGCTTTTGCATAACGTTTTTTCGCTCCGAAAGACCAACATTACTCCACCGCCCTGGTCGATGCTAAAGCTCTCTATTATAATAGTCAATATCAAACGTTGTGACAAAGCAAATGCTGCCATCTGTAATACTAAGTGCATAAAAGTTGTTGTGAATCCTCCGTGCAACAAAGATTTCATGGAAAACAAAAATGCCGATATAACTGAATAAAATTAATCGCGATTATCAGCCACAACTATCAAAATCACTATATCTTTTCTGCCCACCTTCTTATAAATGAGTCCCACCACGGCAACTTTCAGTCTTATGGCTAATACGTGCGCCTTAAACATGGCTTTGGATTGCACGACAGTTCTCATCATGGTGACCAGAAAAATACCAATGACAAAGGGCAGAGATGTCTTGTAACTGATACCTGTGCCTGTAGAAATACTTCTCAAGAAGTACCATATCAACAGAAGTAGCGCATGCAATGTCAGTGAGTAACATAGCCTTAGTAATGCCATAATGACATAATCTCGGCGGGAAATCGTTCTCATCATGGCCCTCCATAAGCGAGGCTTTGTTCGTTGGTGTGCAGTTGCTCTTTTCTCCACGACCCATTCTCGTTCCAATTCAGTAACTAGTCTTTCTGTTCGATTCGAAGTATCCACCCGGAATAAAAGGCTTTCGTCTAAGGGCTGTTTATTACCAAGCTTGAGAACATCATTCAGCCAAGAGAAAGTTATCAGAGAGAAAAAACCCGCCTTTTCTATAGGATTTGTACCAGAAATATCTTCCATGGCAGCTGTTCCTATGCTTATTCCTCCTGCGAAAAGAAAAAAACCAATCGTTGTAAATCCGTGGCATACAAAGGATTGTCAAGTTTTTGTTTTATAAAAGATGTCCTCAACCGTCTTCTATAAAACTGGTGTCACCAAATTATTATGGGCACCTCACCACATTTATAAAATACTTTCAGAAATTCTTGAAGTGATCACTAGTTTAGTTATCTTACCTTGAAGATCTCTTTGTACAGCGCGCTCTGAAAAAAAAAACACGCACGCAAGAGGTAAATTACTATGGAGGCACAAGTGGAACGAGAATAGGTTTAGCTGTGTTTTAAGTCTCGAGTGCATTAAATTTTCTTAACGACAAAAAATATCTGCAAAATTCTCGATAAAACCAAAGATTTAACCAGATCGGCAAGCGGAAGAGAGGCGGTCCTTCTGTTTCCAACTGTTACTGACGTTACCTTGCGTAATGGAAGCTCCTTATTGCGTTGCATAAAAACATGAATAACTTAACATGGACAATAGTAGGTATCAAACCAAAAGAAGCGACCATTTTTTCTTATTGAAATGTCTATGGGGAACGAAAAAAAATTCAAAAGGAAAAAAAAAACCTTGAAAATAATATATGTATATTAGAACTCACAAGGTAAGCCTATCGTTATCGTAATTCAAATGGTAATTTGTTTTTTCACAGCAAATATGGAATCTTCCATTTCTGTAACGGAGTCGCTCCCAAACATATTAAGAAAATCAATCATCCAGCAAAACGAGCCATGTGGTTACAAATGTTTCCTCTGGCTATATCTTAGCGTAGCAAAGCTTCACATCGATTCCGAAGTCAATCATAGGTTAAATTCTTCCGAAAATTTAGCTTAGTCGATGACATTTTGGCTCCTTTTCAATCTGTTGTAATATTTTTAATGTCAAATACAAATACACCTCATGCACAATGGCTCTATAACTAATCATTTTGAATAGTAATTACCCTTGTAGCTTTAAGAGAAACAAACCTCCCTCACTCCCTCCCAGGAGCTCATTTCGCAGCCTCGGTACCCAAAGCTCCCACAATACAGCACCTTACAGAAGCTGTCGATTGCGTAACCAACTAATCATATAAAGAGGTGACATGTCCATCCTTATGAATTACTTGGGTTAATCGACCATGTACAAATAAACAACAAGTTACTTACTAGAATATGCTTCAGCAAAGCCGATTATCTTGATCAAAGTTCTGGAATGTATATCGCACTCTTTCGGTTTTAAAAAATGTGATTTGAAGGCCAGTCAATCTGGTCTGTATCTTTGTCAGTAGGTATAGAAGAAATATTCCATTATTTCAATTTATGCTAAACAATTCGTCACTCTATTTCCCCATAATGATCAATGGTGACATAGTAGATACTGAGTATAATTACGCATTAAGACCTAGAGAAAGAAATTCAAATATCCGAGGCACTTCGACCAACAGGTTTAAGAACTTTACCTCAAACATATACACTTTATGCTTTGCACATGATTAGTTTCGCCATTATTTTGCCATTATATGCTTTTTGGTTGCTAATACAATCAATTTTTTCTTAGCTATTTATTTTGTGTTATTGGATTATTATTGTTTGCTGGGCAGACTTGTAATTCAGTTATTTTTACTGCAAGAGGTCTTAATAAACATATCCAAATATCCATACCTGAAGCGGCTCGAAGGAATCGCAGATATTTTGTGCAGCTGCAATCCTCACCTCTAAACCTGCCTTTCTCGACTACGTAAAATGTGTTTCAGTTAATCTCTGAATTTGCAAGCCAACGCAGAGTGTAATTTATGCATGTGAAACAGATCCGTTGAATAACCTGATGAAATGAAAAGAGATAAAACTACTTTACACTAAACAAAGAACCTCTGTATCCCAAACAATTTCCATTAATCTCTAAATTTGCAAGCCAATGCAGAGTCTAATTTATGCATGTGAAACAGATGCGTTGAATAACCTGATGAAATGACCAACGATACAACTACTGTACACTAAAAAAATCTCTGTATCCCAAATAACTTGCATTAGTTCCGGAATTTCCTGTCGATATTATTTCTAGCAGATGCTCTCATCTAAAATCGTTCCCCTTCAAAGAGTACAACACTGAACTGTTCACTGTGCTTTGATTGTTCATGAATTCTGAAGATTGGACTACACGTCAGGGCGCAGTTGTTCGAAGAGTGGATGATGCTATCCAACGGATAAATCACTATCCAGCGGATAACTATTAAGAAAACGTATTGCGCTATCCACTGGATAGTGATTTTCCAATAGATAGCGTTATCCAACCTTTGAACAAGCGGCCACAGAGATTGACATAACTAACATCAAAACTTTTATCATGATCTGAGAGTGACAATCAAAGTCGATACAAATAACTCACCTATCAAACATTACGGATAAATTGGCTTTTGTTGAGGTACTACAGAATGATAATGAACTGAAAGTTACCGGTTCACTGATCATGACTATGATGAACCTGGACTCTATATTTGCATACTCACGCGGTATTAGCAGTTCAGCTCCAGGAGTCTGTGCCTTGCCAAAGGTACGACGCAAAGGCCGAAGAGGTTTCTTACATATAAATCACATGCAGTACTTACCTAGTTTACTCCAGTTCATTTTATTTGTTGATGATACTGGTTTTAATCAACGGCAGATATTGATGTGCTGGAAGACGTAAGAAATTACGAAATCTGAAAATGAAACACTAAATCTGCTATTGTGTATCTCACAATCTTAGACATCTCAGAGCGCAAGGGCAAACAATTAATGACAAGAACTGTCTTTATCGACTAAAGGTAATTCCCTTGAAATTGTTCTACAATCAAACTCTTTTTGAAACTTGGTATAATTAACATTCATGATAAAACATTAAAAAAATGCAATTAAAAAATGGGGTCACCGTGCTTGTTTACGCAACAGCAGGCTCTTAAAATGGGGTATTTTTACTGGTTGCGCGTTAAAAATTCGAATCTCCTTCGTACAGAATTTAGCCTTAGTAACTTGAAAGAAATTTTATTTTGAAATTAAAGCTTCTTTTATTAAAATAAATGGTATTGCTTCATGTTAGCGGTTTCTGATTGCCTGGTTGTGGGGATTTTGCACTTTTTCGGACAGTTCCGTGGTTAGCGTAAAGTCCTCGCCTTGGTCAAAATACACCAAGTAAGGAACTATTTTCCAAAAAAGTCATGTTCTACTGTCAAACTTTTTTCTTCTTCAAACATGTTCTTTATTAGGCTGTTCTTAGCAAATACCTGAAAAAAAATCGGGTGTCACCGTGCTTGTTTCCTCACAAACTGCCGCGAAAGGTGGACATGGTTTTGAGATCGCAGCCAGGATGGAGAATTTGCGCGGTGGGGACTGGGACGAGACACAAAATGGTGCCCATCGTGTTCGAAATTTGCAGCTAAATACAGGAATTGCACCGACCTGTGATTGAAGTTAAAAATAGCATTAGTCACGCTGTTGAGCTCAAGAGACTTGCTGATCACGTTGGCATTTGTGGACGAAAATTATGTTAGCATTAAAAATCTTTCCTTTTTTCAAATCAAATAAACACAAGCTTTGATATCATCGCTGGAAGATAAATTTTCGGGTCAAATCTACTTCGGTAAAGGGGTAAATTTATGGCGTGGATTTGCTACCTACCGTTTTTTAATTATCGTCGAAAATTCACCGCTGAAACAGCAATAATATTCGTTTTTGCTTCAGTATCGAGCAGTTTTCGTTCGTTAATTGACTCGCTGTGTAATATGTTCTATTTGCAAACGTTTCGCTCTTGGTGCAATTCCTTTCTGTAACGCAAGTCTTAAATACAGGAATTGCACCGGCCCGATTGGTCAACTTCCAGCGGTGAAAAAGGAAAAAGCCGAACGCGATGATCTTTCTTCCTTCAGTCCAAAGCCTTTGATCTTCACTAGCGAAGTTATTTCGCCCACAGCTCCCATTCTGAACGCGCTTTCGAGCCGGTGCTTTTCCTGCCTTTAACGCTTCCCATAATTAAATACAGGAATTGCACCGAAAAAGGACAAGGACATTCCAATATTTGTCTTACCTCTGTGTTTCCTGCTCTTGTTAATTTGAGTGAATGTATAAGGCCTCTAAACAGCGGTATCTCATAGTTAATTCATGTAACCGACACCAAAGTCAAATATTTAAACGTTAGGTAGCAAATCCACGTCATAAATTTACCCCTTGATCTACAGGTCTCTTGAGCTCAACAGCGTGACTAATGCTATTTTTAATTTCCAATCACAGATCGGTGCAATTCTTGTATTTAGCTGCAAGTGTGTTCGAAGGTTGCACTCGATATCAAGCTTGTTTTCGGTTGTTTTTCTGTGTTTGATATTGCCAACACAGGAATTCATACTTGAAAAGAGTGCAAAAATAACAAAGAATGAGGTAAGTCAAGATTTGATGAGATTTTGAAGTTATGAACCTTTAGTTGAAACTATTTTGTAGCGCTGGCGTTTTGTTAATCCCAGTGAGCTAGGGTTCGATTTTGTTTGCTTTGGGGCAATAAAGGCTTGACAAAGAAACTTGAAGAAAAGACTGTTGATTCCCATTATTTGTATGTTTTCTTGTTTGGTTTCTATACAAAGCAAAATGTGAATACTTCGCCCATCACTCAAACAGGAGTGACATATACAGTACAATGTAGTATATACTCTGAAAAATACAAACTGTACTTTAAAATTTGCTTTTTATACGTCAGAACCACACTTCAATGTCTCACTGGTCCTCATTGTGACTACTACATTTCCGTGCAAAAAATTATTTTCAAACTTTTTACATTTTTTTCGACTTTCATGCTTCAACATGTCACTAAATAAAGTTAATCCTCTTAGTCGTTGGTTCCACAGAATCGAATTGAATGTAATATTAAGACCCTTTCAGAATTACTGTTTGCATTCTTGTTTGCAACCAAACCAACAGAGTAAATATTAGTTTTACAAAACATTAATTTCACAAATTGCAATCTTAATTTGCGTTATTTATAAAGTACTGACATATTTTTGCCAGCACCTGCTTGTTTGAGGAGACTCTGGGTTTGTTGTCAAACCTCTCCATAGAACTTGCTTCACCCCTTTTTCCTTGCCTCTTTGTTACACCACTTGTAGGTGATGGAGACCCAAACCTGAGCTTGCACACTTAATGGCCATCAAGGCTGAAATGTACTTATCTCTGACTAATGGCTGTGGGGTATTAACCAGAAGTTTCTTTTCTTTTAGGAGCTTTTGATAGGATGTCACCCATGAAACTTTGAAACTCTGCTTTTGTAGCAGTTTGACATTTAGAAACTTGTTCACCAGCTGGTAGAGTATTTGCGCATTTGCAAGAGCATTGTGAGCTTCATAGGATTTACACAGAAGATCTTGTACAAGGTTTTCCTGGCTATGGGATTTCCTTTTAGGAGGCAATTCCCTGAATGCTGGAATAGAGTCTGTAAAGCCAGAAACAGTTTTAGCTAAGTCATCTATGACTCCATTTTTCTCTGCTGCTTGTACCAAGAACGTGGCATCAAAGGATTTGCAATTGTACGCGACTAAAATGCAAGGCATTCTTGATTTCAGCCACTCAATGAAGTTCTGCAGGGTCACATCAATTGCAATGGCATCAGTAATTGGCTTCCCATCATGAAACATCATTCCTCTTTGGAAGGTGAGTTTGTTCACATCAGATGCTTCTGGTGATATTACATGATAAGGCTTGACATAAATAAAGAACTCATCTTTACCATCTGTTGCTGTAATTTGTAGGATTTCGGCATCATTACCTGATGTCAACAAAGATAAACAAATTTTTTAAGATATTGTAATCCAATTATTACTTTACAAAGATATTACAGGGAAAAATGTAATAAAAAAGCTAAGTGCATCTATGCAGGTTATATATAAAATAAAAATAGAAGGAGTGATTACTGAATACCTCTCCTGCTAATTCACATCTTGCCTATTTTCTTTAAGAACAAGGCATGATAAAACAAAGGAATCTATGTGATGCAAATTAGCAGGATAAGTCTTCAGCAATCTAGCAAAATAGAACAACAATTCCATGATTAAATATAATTATTCTCTAATGTGTAATTCAGAAATACCCTGCTAAGACAAACATGGTTATATTCACTTTGGTACTTTTTTGCTGAACTCCACCCTGCAAAGCGAATTACCCCCTTCTGGATGTTTCTAAATCAAATATGATTTGAAGGTAGTTTTTGGTTAATGATACTTTCTCAATCTTTGAGGCTGCAAGTGGTGCTGGAATTTCCTGAGCGGCATTGTGTCCATCGAAGCCCATTCCAGAACTATACTGTTGTCCTTCTCTGTTCTCAAGCTGTTTTGTCTTTTTCAACCGCTTCTCTTTCTTCTCAATTCTTTTCTTCTTGTACTCTCTTGTTTTCTGTTTCTCTTTCAAACTTAGAATTCTCTTGTCCATTTTCTTTGCTAACTTTAAAGAATTGGAACCTGGAGATAGTTGTGTCTTCATAAAAGCCTAAAAGAAATTCACTAGTCTTAGGGAAAACAATATTCTAAGTTATAATATAGTGTTTTATTATTTGTTTTTTTTGTGACTCATAATATGCAATAGGTACTGGTAGTATAACACTGGACACATTGGTTAATGTTTAATGTTCAATGGATCTCACAAATTGGGAAGTGTACAAAATGCTCATAATATTATATCTGCTCACCTGAGAAACATAAGAATGGCCTAAGTTCTTTTGGCCAACAGCACATGCAACACAGAAGTCATTGTTTTTGCTAGATCTGTAGTGTCTGATCTTTGGAGCTTTGCTTCCTATAGTGTTGTGGAGTGCTTCATTTGCCTGGCTTGACCCAAGGGGAGCTAGCTTCTTGGCATTTGAAGCATAAACCTAAATTGAAGAAGCAAACAGGTTTTTTCACTAAAATTTGGTATCTCATAAAGCTTGTGAAACTAAGAAAGAGGTTGATAGTCCCCTAACACTTATAGCTTTATCCCTTGCAGTTATTATTTAGAATACATTCATAAGCACTAACACTATTTTCATAGATTTGTGTTCCTCTACTACATGTAAAATGTTGGGAATTGGGAAATTGTGAGGAGTGAGCTGTGCCACCATGCATGTACACTGTACTTACTTCTATGATCTTTCCCAGGGACTGCCTCAAGCTTTTGTCTGTCAGATCCTTGCCACAGGGAGGCCTGTGTGTTTGTAGGATGCAGGATTTTTTAAGTAGCCACGCCAGTTGCCACAGGAAGAATGGTCACCATAAGCATGGGGTACAATAGACTTCAGACCATTTTGCACACCTTCTTCATCATCCTTATTCTGCTTTAGTGTGTAACCAAAGCATCACTGGAAATACCGTATCACCATATCTGTCAGGCTTCTGTTTTGGGTTTTGATGCTGAATAGTGAGCTACCATAGGATCTTTTAGCATGGACTACATCTGATCATTTTTCAACCTCGTGTTTGACATTTTTCCTCACTTTGCTAATTCTTCACAACTGTTAAGCAGAGTGAAACCACAAAAATAACATTTTGTGCTATAAAAAGTGAGGGCATTCAAACTACACCTAGGCATTATCTTAAAGTATTTTCTTTTTTGCATTTTTAACATACTCATATTCAAAAATATAGGTGCATTTTTATGTTGGCTTTCTTGTCAAATTTTCAATCATTATTACCAAGGGTGTTAGGTACCGTAAGACTTTCCACTGTTCATAGTTCAAGTGTCACTACTGTAACATTCATATCATAAGAACAGATTCCACAAGTCTCTCTTTGGAGCAATAAAACTGCGAATTTAACATTTTAATAACTATTGTTATAATTATAATTTTATTTTTTATTTTTATTATAGCATACCTGGTTACTAATTACCTTTTGACTAGATCAACACAAACATCAGCTTCCATAGCTTTTGACGAGCCTTCCCAGTTGAGTCTGCAGTCGTGTATGCGAGGCTTTTTTGACTGTCTGCTGGCAGTTTCACATGTTGCACACCTTTATAAAAGACATTATGGGTAAAGGTCCTGGGTAGCATCCATATTTGCCTCCTCTTGAAAGTGTTGTCATATGTTGAATGATTCTGTACTTTCTGTGGTCAAATTGAAAAAAAAACATAGTAGCTTTCTATGAAAATGAATATCCAAATGCACCCTTTTCAATTATTTCAGGTGTAGAATTTGTCAGGCTGTTGTGGGCTTTTTCCCTTTTTCGGCCGCGAAGTGTAAATCCACTGCAGACATCCGGATCACGCACATTTTTTCATTTCCTTGTTTTTTGAAAGCAGACCAGGAAGCTGTCAGCCGATTTGCGGCATATTACGAATAAAAGCTTTCGCTCTGCAAAATAAAAGCTTTCGCTCTACAAGAGCGGCCCTTGTCTGTTCTAGCGGGAAGAACGGCCGCCATCCTGGATGTCACAATTAATGTTATGCGCAGAAAAGGTCGCGCAGTGCCAAGCAAGGGAATAACCTTAGGTATTTGACCCCGTGAATAACAAGTGCCTCAAATTAAAGCACCACGGAGTCCGGGGTCCTAGTCATGACTTGTTCATGACTTGTTCTCACTTCTCGCAGTCAAAGAGTAAAGCTCAAGTGCAACTTATCCAGTCTTACACTTGAATGTGGCGCACCCCAAGGTTTTCTACTAATACCTTTTCTGTTCGTTTTATGCATCAGCGATCTCCCTAGGTTCTTGTTACAGTCTCAAATTCAGCATGTATGTAGATGACAAAGTTATATACGCCGCTGGTTCAGGTTCCGATAATATCCAAATGACGATTTAAGGAAATCGTGACAGGGTGGAGCAATGGATGAGCAACAGCAAGCTACTACAAAACCTGAGCAAGACAAAATGTATTCTATTTGGAGAGAACAGAGGCTTGCAGGCTCGACTAACTTTAACATCCAAACGCACCGCATGGAAATTGAAAGGGTTGCCAAATTTTGCTGCGTAGCGGCAGTGATGGGTGAACATCTCTAAACAAAGTGCTCACTGAGGTTAACACGCGCCTAAGCTCGCTCGACCGCTTTCAGTCATGCCTGACTCTTACAAAGCCGATCAATGTGTTTACAATTCCCTCATTCTGCCGGTTATTTGCTACAAAGACACCGTTTGGGGGAGCTATCGGTTGCGCGCAGCAGTAAGTTACGGCAACTACAAAACGGAGCTGTAGGTATCACTATCAGAAGTAATAGCTCCAGTGAGCAAGGCTATCGAGGCGTTAGGCTGGTCTAACTTTGCATTTTGCAATGCATTGTAGAGAAAGGTGGTTTTTCGTCATGTTACGAGCCCTATGAGGAATCGAACCTCAGACCTTCGGATTCCGCCCTCTGATGCCGCTCTACCACTGAGCCACAAGTAAGCAAGGCCATCACGAGGTTAATTAATGCAATTTAGTTTTTAAATATTTAAATAACCTAAAGTCAAAATATGTTAGTGACTAGTTAATCAAGAATAAGGTTCCACTCATATAATACGAAAAGGAAGAACGATATTCATTCTCCCAGACCAAAGCTAAGCCTGGGTAAGAGAACATTTAGATATTCTGGATCGACCTTATTCAATAATTCTTTGCCACAAGCCATAAAACAATCTAAGTCCTTACAGATGTTTTTGCATCGAATAAAAATTTCAAGTTTTTTGAGATTCCGTTTCAACATTTTTATCATAAAAAAAACCATATACAATGATATTTTCACATCTTTAAAGCGCAAAAAAGTTCAAAATCCGGCTAAACAGAAATTATTCAGTCTGGTTTGTTACTTCTTTGCACAGAATTAACCCTCTTCTGCATTGAATTACCTGAAAACTGAGTATATCTTAACTACTCGCAACTGAGTAATTTTTTCATGTATCTCATTAGCAAATAAATTTAATGTAAATGTGAAATAAATACAATTTACGTTGTTTTTTGAGTGGGTCAGAGACAATTATCTCCTGTGCCTTTTAAAATAAAAGTATACCATAAAATCATTGACCAAGAAAACATGCCCTAAATTCTTTGGTATTCGTGTTGACAGAAATTTAAGTTGGAAAGAACATATCAATTAAATTTCTAGTAAGGTTTCAAAATCCATAGGCATTATAATCAAAGCTACAATGAATGGCTTTGTCACTTAATCGATATTTTGCTCTTGTTTATCCTACTCCACAATGTGGAACTAAAAATTGGGGCTCTCCTTACCAATCTACTCTGAAACAAATAATTTGTCACAGAAACTGAATATAGTTTTAATATCCAACTCTTGTTTTGATGCCTGTAGTCCTCCGCTATTTTATAATTATTATAATTATAAAACAATCAATATAGGCAGTATTTAGATGTTACACGAGGCTTGGTTATGATTTCTTACAACAACATGATGCTTCTGAGAATTTTCAAAATATATTCTTTCTAAGTTTATTGTATCTTGGCTGCTTCCTTTAATTTTATCTTCTAGTTGGTGTCATGATTACTTTTTCTGATTATTAAACCACTACTCTATATAATGAACTCCTCATTTGGATTTTTATTGTGTACATAAATTATATTATTTCACCATAGTTTCAACCTTTAGTAGTCTATTATCTAGATCTTAAAAAATCCTGTCCACTTGTAATATTTTATTTACATTAATTTGTATTTTCTGGTGATGGTAAATGGTTAGCCCAGATGTTATAAGCATTGTGGTTTTCTTTACAGGCAACCCAGCCATTGAATAATGTTGTTAGTGATAAATAAATAGAAACACAAATGAGTTGGAGTTATAGTACATGTGGGTCAGAGAAATCAGTTATTTTATAAAGTTATAACTTTTCTTCCTTAATAGTTATTCCCGAGAATATTGTTGGTGTCACCAGCGAAGGAAATTCCGAAGTGCTACTCCAAGAACAGGACATTATGTCTAGCGTAACTTTTGTAAGATTTTGGATAGCTATCGCATCGAGCTTTCGAGCACTAACCAATACTGGTTTTCCATTTTTAAAGCTAGCAATTTTGACAAAATCTGATTTCTTTTTTCAGCCTTCAAAGGACAATATTTTTTTCTCCAGTACAACTCAGCTGTGCATCGATTCCAAACATACCCGTATAGCCTACATAGGGGGACAAGCATATCCCTATGCGTTTGTTTCGCAGCTCCGGCACCCAAAGCTCACAAAATGCCACAAATTAGGCAAGCTACTGATTGCGTAACCAAGTGGTCGGAGCTAAAATATCCATTGTTAGCAAGTAGATGGGTTAATTCACAAATTGCGTGGAAACAAAAATGTACCAACCAAAATATACATAAGGAGAGCCGATTATCTTGATCCAAGGTGTTGCAGAAAATCGCAAACTTCCGGCTTGCACAACTGTCACTCAAGGGCCAATAAGTCCAGTCTGTATCTTTGTCGCTGAATTGTAAAATACTTAACAACTCATTGAGCTTCACTTGTTCCCGATCGGATTCTGAAGGTTTGACTACACATCACAGATTGTAATATCTATCACTATAACATTTATCACGGTCTGAGAGTGAAAATCAAAGCCGATACAAATGACTTACCAATCAAACAAATCGAAGAAGTTGACATTTGTTGATATACTACAGTATGATAATTAACTCAAAGTTACCAGTTTACTGATCATTGCTATTATGATTTTAAACAGCTAGTTGCATACGCGCTCAGCATTGAACTTTGCATGTAGCAGTACAGCTGTAACGGACTGAAACAGAAGTCTATGTGTCCTGCCAAAGGGAGGACGGAAAGAGGTGAGGGGTTCTGTAATATATATATATATTTCATCCATTACTCATCTAGTTTAATTCAGTACATACATATGCTGAAGCGATTCTCGCTCAGAAAAAATTCATTTTGCAATTTTTCGAAAAATTAAGGAAGTTTCAATTATTTTTAGACTAAGAAAGAAAGATTAATGGGCAAAGTTTGAAAGAAATCGATATTTTGAACCGAAATGCATCGGACGGCTTTAAAGAGACTGCACCTTTAAAGGTGACATCACAGAGTTACTAGAAAACGTATTAAAAATCCTCAATGCCATTTTGAGCTGAGATTTGATTTTTCCGACCATCCCCTCTCCCTCTCTTCCCGTCTTGCTTTCAGGTAACCACCCGTTTCTCGGAAACAATCATCTTACTGTTTTGGGACTTGTTTGAATAGTTGTTTGCATGTTATTCAAATTAGGTCTTCACCTTTTCAAGGTAGTGATGAAGTAAATACAGAAGACCAAGTTATCGTAAAACGAAGAAACGCGGCACTTTCCGGTCTTGTGCCGACGGAAAACGTACCGAAAGGTAAAATGCTGTTTGTTTTTCTGAACAAATGCATGTCATGTAACCAAAACCGTAAGAAAGAAACGAAATTCATATGCAATTCCACAAAATTTCGTATGTCGTTGTGCTTCGTTAGCGTTTTGAGGCCGCTTGTTTCTTAGGCATAAGCACTCGATATGAGGAGTATGTCGCTTGTCGAAAGTTAAATTACTGTTTGGTTTGCTTGTCAAACCGTAAAAAAGAAACGAAACCACCTATGCAAATTCTACAAAAATTTTATGACGTTTATGCTGATGTAAGCGTCTTGGTTTCCTGTTTTTTTTTAGAATATCAATCCGCATGAGCTAAGAAAAGACATATAAACTCTTCGTCTCATCCATAACATTCACTCAACTGGCTACGGCTCGATATTTCATATTTCTTATATGTATCAACTTATTTCTCCTTCATGGAAAAGCCAGTGCTCTCGAATCTTCGGAAAGAAGTTTCCATTCGACTTGATCGTGCATTCATTTATCGAATATCACTGTAAATGTCCGCAAGTAGACCCAAAATAGACACAAATGCTCTTTGCCAACGACGAAAGAAAGTCTTGAAACTCTTCTATTTTTAGTTTCGAGAAAAAGTTGGTGAATAAGATATTGCAATGAAAACTAATTCAACGCAGCTTTCAGTCTTGTGAGGCTATATTTTTCCCAGTTCTGTGGATGCACTTGGTTGATGGGATGTTTTGTGACAAAGTCACTCTTCATTAGGACTCGGATGATTTCTCTTTATCCCAACGCTTTTTGGGAAAATCTAGAGTAAAAAGGACACAACGATGTTTTTCGAAGGTCGATTGATTGGCTTACGGTTATTTGCAATCTCCTGTTATGCATTGCAGGTAGACGTAGTGACTTATTCTCTTGTTATTCATTTTCCAGACGTGTTTAAAATCTGGAATAAAACTCCAAAATGTATTCTTTTCCTTGTTACATCAGTATACCTTTACCCATGCTTTCTGTTAATTTTATAATGTGATTAATTATCTTCGAGAGTTGGAGAGTAGTTTAAGTTGTTTGTTATGTTGATTCACAAACTTTTCACTCGGTAAGTAAGCCTTTAATTTCCTTTACACACTCAATGCTACTACTAGGAAAAAAAATTATGAATTACAAAATCCGATTGAACATTTATTTCAATCCACTCAGCATTGCTGCTGTGATAAACAAACAAAGCTTTTTAAGATTTCTCTTATCCGAGGGATAGGATTTACCCAGTGAATAAGCCTATCCAATTCTCTGAAAACCAGAGCAGTTTGTCTTCTCCAAAGATAACGAAGAGACTTAAGCTAGCATTTCTTAGAGCTTAAGTTCCTTTCCCTTCATGATCCTCATTCTCTCTTGTGAAATCCACTCGACGTAGTCACTAGCTGCCTTTTTTTTCTTGTCACTTTTCTGACCGCTTACCACGGTCATTCTCATAGACTCCAACAGAATGCCCGTCGCTAATCTCATTTTTCCATCTACCTTTAATTCAAAGGAGCTGAATTAAGATTTGTGAATCTGAGAGTATTTAACCCAATTTTATTTGTAAACAAAGGCATATTCTACAGCTTGAAAGCCAACTCTTAAGTCCAATTCTTTCAAAAGGAAATTGAATTCTTTCTGAAAGATTCGTGTTTCTTCAGAGGAGAATTGATTATTTCAGATTCTTCATCCTTAGAGGAGAATTATAATTCTCAAGATAAGGAATCGGGTTCTTGAGGAACAAAACTGTGGGTCTTCTCCTAAGGTTAAGAATTCTTATGAGACGAATCTCAAGTATGTCTGATTCTTGTAAGAAGAAAAGTAGTTTTTTTCCCACAAGAGGAAAATTCTTTTGCCAAGAGCCGGTTTATGAGATACTCTTCCGAGAGGAAACACTGCTCTCCTCCCAAGATGATATCCATTTAAGGAAAGATCTGTGTGTCTTCTCCCAAGGTTACGAATTCTTATGAGAAGAACCTCATTTATGTCTGATTCTAGTTAGAATGCTAGTTTTTTCCCACAAGAACAAACATATTTTGCCAACAACAAGTAAATAACCCCTCCCAAGACGATTTCCATTTGAGCAGAATCTCATATTTCAAGGAGGCT